GTGCAGGTGTGTATGTCAAGACTGGCAGCAACAGGGCGTAGCGAGGGGTGTTCAGAGAGGATGAGAGAGGAGGGAGAGGAGAGGAGAGAGGGCGGGAAGAAGAGGGAAAAAGGAAGAGAAAGAAAGGGAAAGAAAAAGAAAGAGAGAGAGAGACAAAAAGAGAGAGAGAAAGAAAGAGAGAGAAAGAGAGAGGGAGAGAGAGAGAGAGAGAGAGAGAGAGAGAGAGAGAGAGAGAGAGAGAGAGAGAGAGAGAGAGAGACAGATACATACAGACAGACAGACACAGACATACATACAGACAGATACAGACATACGTACAGACAGATACAGACATACATACAGACAGACAGATACAGACAGACAGACATACATACATGCATACAGAGATTAAGAGGGAGAGGGGCCAAAGGTGACGAAGAGAAACAACGGGTGCGCAACAAGAGGTGCATGTTCTGCCTTAAGACACCGTAGCTCATGTATGCAAGTGCTTAGAGATACACGAGGAAGCCGACGCATAAGGCTGCGTCTCTGAGTGTTCAGTAGCTGGTCTAGTGCGCGTTTCTTGAAGGCAAGGCGGAAATATTTTGATAAAGACTAGATCTCCGCCTATGAGCTCACCAAATGCCGGCAGCTTTGAATCGTTGTTCGAAGTCTTTCGTGTAGATGTCGTGGAAGATCTGCTTGAAGCGCCCGTCATAAGCCTTTAGGACGGTGTTTTTTGTCGAGAGGTAGAGCGGCATCTTGGCATCCAGAGCATATTGAAAGCATGCCAGTGCGAAGTCACTGATGCTTGCGTCCTCGTTATACATGCCCAGACAGACGCCTCCAGAGTTGAAGTGGTGGAGATCCCTTGTTACTGGGGTGGACCTGTATGGCAAACTCTGCACGCCGATCCGTAGCTTAACTAGCCCTCTGCCTTGGGGGGGAATGTGGAAAAGGGAGATGGAGTGGAGGAAACAGGTGCATGCACGCTGCGCAGACTCTAGAAACTAATCCCAAGCTAAGCCTTGTATACCCGTCATCAGGTGAGTAGACCAGCTTGACCGTTCCAGGCGCATTGACAGTGAAGTCTACGGCTCTGTACTGATCGCCAAATGCATGACGCCCAATGACGATTGGCTTTTTCCACGCAGGCACCAGTCGAGGAATCTGCAGCAGAAGCAGCAGCAGTCACCGCAAGACAGCACAACGCCTCGCTGTTTTTGGCAGTGCGTTTACTGCAGTTCGAAATTGCACGCGCGTCGATGCAGAAGAAGGCCTGCGGGCTGGTGCGGCATGCGTGCAACAGGCTTGCAATTCTTCATGCAAATACGAATTCGATGAATTCAAATTCACGAGTGACGCGCGGCCAGGTATTTCTAGACATTACATTGTCGATCAGAATGGGGGCTCTGAATATCGTGCCGCCTATGATGTTTCGAATGGTTGCATTCGGTGATTTCCACATCTTCTTCAGTCCGAACTCTGAAAGACACACCCACATGCCGGGATTGACCGCTACTCGCTCCTTCAGAGGCGGCTGCGCTCCTGCTCTTCTCCATTGTCTGCGTTGAACGCGGAAGACTCCTGCCTAAGAGGGATTCGAACAGCTCTGCTGACTGAAGAATTCGAGGTTTGCTCGAGGGGTTGCGTTCTATGCGCGCATACCTTTGACTCTCGCTTCATCAGGCGTAATTGTTGCGCATTTGATACCGACACCAATTTGCTTGATCGCGTGTGCCGCGTCAACAGTGACTTGATCGTCGGTCGCATCCCTGTGCTGTATGCTCAGGTCAAAGTACTCGATGGGCAGATCCAGGTATTTCAAGATAAGCTGCAAACATTTCATCAAGTGCGGCGATCCCTAGTGGCTTGATCTAGGAAACAGACAAGGGAAACTAAGCAGAAAATATCCATGGCGGCAGGAACAAAATACTGCAGACTAGACGAACAGATGCGTTACATACACATATACATAGATAGATATGTGTGTGTCCGTGCATACATTGCCCCCTGAGCCTTGAAATGCCGAGGTAGAAGCGCTGTAAATGGGTAGAGCAGGAGGGAAAGGAAAACTCGCAACCACTCGTGCGGGGTCTGGACAGACCAACCTTCTCTTTGATCCATTGCCAGATAACGCGCGTCATCTCATCCCCGTCGATCTCAACGACGGGGTTCTCTACCTTGATCTTCTTGACCTGCATCTTTGTGTGTATAACTTGAGTTAATACTTGCGAAGACTGCTGGCAGCTGTGTATTTGCGTGTGTGTGTATGTGCATGTCTTTGTATACGAGTGTGTGTGTGTGTGTTTAGAGACGGCGAAGGGAGAGCAGTAGCTTTTACCACTCGCTATCCAGATGTATGTACATGCATGTACATCTATACACATGCACAGTGCAAGCGAAGTGGGTATGAGTGTATGTATCTACTTCACATGCATTAAAACTGCAAATGTGCAAGCAGACGCATCGAAGAGCGTCTTGTTGCCACGGGGTCACCAGCCACACACTGCTTGCTGCCTTGCTGCTGGCTGCCGTCTACTGTCCTTTCGCTGTGTTGGAAACCATGGGGGTGTCAGCAAGGAAAAATGTGCATTGGAATGCGGAATAAATCCAAATTTCAAAGGTTTCTACACGCTTGAAACCGCAGACACCTTCCAAGTGGGAAGAGGTGTGTCGTTTGCGTTTTGACTTGCGGTCGTCGTGTGCTGTCTCCTCCGCGGCTGGCTGACTGCGGCGCTCGTTTTCTCCCGTTCTTGCGCTTGCAGGGCTGGCCCTGAAGCCTCTACAAGCCTTAGAGTTTATGTATGATGGTTAGAAGCTGAAGCGATCATGCGTTTGCAGCGGCGGGAGAGCCGAGGCAACGAACGATGGGGGGTGGGTGGATGCAGCATGGAGGAATCTCTCATGCAGGGAAGCCGAAGGGCAGCCTGGCAGGGGCACTGTCTTTCTGGCGACCTCTTTGGTAGGGCGACACATCAATTAGACTAGTTAATAAAGTATTACGCAACAAAGGGAGCAGTTTGAAGCTAGCGCGTTTGGCCAAAAAGGCTATTTGCTGCACTATTGTAGGAGTTACTCCCACAGAGGAGGGAGGAAGCGGGGGGCCCCTCGGTGGCTGCTGAAACCGCCCCCCGCCTTCCTGCAGTATTGCAAGCTCGCATTCTCACCCCTCTCGCATGTGATGAAGCAACCCTTTTTAAGTTTTTTTAGTCCAGGCACATGCGTGGAGACCTTTTGAATAGGTGTTGTTGGCTATATTTTGGATGTTCGGCTCCTTGCCGCACCAAGGGCATCAGCTCGCCGTCAATACAGCAAGCAACGACACACTACAGACGCGCATCCCGCAGAACACTAGCAGGCAACTGTTTTCGAAGTAAAATTGACTCAATTCAAGCCGCTGGAGCGGACGGAGGGGTGCAGACACCCGCAGCGGTAAATGCTGAGCTGTCATCTGCACTTGACGAAAGTGCAAATCTGTGGGCACACCGGCAAGTAGCGCAGCGCGGCAGCACGAGACAAATTATCAGCTGCTCATGTATAAGCCATAGCGGAGATACAGCAGCTCACTATGGATATCCCCGAACAACCAAGTGCCGAGATGCAACAGACAAGCACTTCCCCCCCAGAAAATGCAGTACGCCATCCGTATTGTTAATGTCTTATTTCCTCCTGCACCCGCAGCTGCATCAGAACACCCTTTTGTGGACATGTTACGGCTGCGCACATTATGTGTACTTGTGACCCCTGTAGCAGGAGGCGGGAACGACCAACAACAACCCTTCAGCCTGGAATCCGAGCTCCTCTCATTGGTACGCTGACTGCTGCCACTGCCTCCTCCCTCCTCCTCGAGCAAAGGCTTCATCTGAGGTGATACAACGGTCGTTCCCTGCTGTCCATGCATGCACTGCTGCTGCTGCCTTAGGGAAGAAAGGCAGCTAACCCCCTGGTGCCTCTCCACTTTGACGGAAAGGTTCACTGCTGCCAAGCTTTCTCTTCTCGAAGGATCTGCAGAGCTAATGTTTTTCAACGTCTCTGTCAAGGGCGAGGTAAAGCGAGTGGCCTCCTACCTTAGCGCGTGCACCGAAGGCTCCAAGCGACCCCTGAGGCATCCGAGTGGCTTTGCAGCACGCCATTATTTTTTGTCGCGCCGCTAAGCAATCAAGTCCAAGCCAATAGAGGCCTTTCAGAAAGATGGTGTATTCAAACGGCGGAAACGCTGCCGTGCTCCTCTGCACGTGTGCTCTTTGGAGGCATGGGGTTGCATGGCGTCTGCAGGCCTCCTTGAGTTTGCGAAAGAACCGAAAAATGCTCTTTTTCGACTTGAGCGCTGAAGCCGACTGGACGGCGACTGCAAGAGATAAGGATGGCAGATTCTTAGCTGGTAGGCTCCCCACAGGATTAGTAGTTAGTTTAATATCTGTCCTGCTTTTCCTGCCTCTGTTCTCCTGCGCTACGCTGGATACGGCTGCGGTTGGGCGTGGCCTCTGGCTGTATGAAGTCAGCTGCCTCTCAGTGACTCCTTGCGCCGTCATCAACGCTTTGAGTGCGCGTTCCTAACATTCCCGTGTGCTTTCACTCGATGCTTCTTCTGCGAATGACTTCTCAATGCGGCGGGGGTGGACGCTTCTTCTCCTGCGCTCGTGTTAGACGCACCCTTTGTTCACCATCGTGGCTTTGACTAGTCCGCACAACACTCTAATCCATACGTGTCATGCTTGTTGTCTACCGGCCGAGTGGCTGTACAGACTCCCGAGGCCACATGACTCTCAAGGAGTTCAGTTCTGATGACGATGACTGCCGCATCACCTTCTCTGGAGATGGCAAAGTACCGCCACAGCACAGGATTGATAACGCAGCGAAGAAAGAGGGACCCCTCCAAGTTACTGAGCTTCTCAAGCAGTTCGTGCAAGAGATGAGAAGCAAGGCATGAACTCCTGAGAAAGGCCTCGCACCGCACCGGCAGCTGCTTGCCAGGAAGCGTCCTTCTGCAGCAACCCTGCAAAAGCGCAACAGCAACGGACTCTACACTCTGGAGTGATTGCAGCATGTATGCTCCTTCCGGAACGGATACTCCGTCTGCATGTCAATAAGCAAAACGCTCGCATGGGTGTAGTTTGTTGTTGAGGATGCAGCACAGCGCAGCGGCACACGCAAGGAAGAGGGGTTTTATTTGCTACTTAACGAGCCGCATAGCCAGGATACTCTAGCACTCAATAGCAGGAGACCCTTTGCATGGGGTAAGACAGAACACAAGTCAACGCATGCGTACTTACTGCAGAGTTCAGGGAGAAACAAAGACCATGTAGTGTAACGGTGCAGCGAAGTTCTCCATAGAGAGGCACTCACGCAGCAGCAGACTCTGCTAAAACTTTGACAAGCAACACGTATTGAGCGCTCCTCGACAGAGCTTCCATATGAGGGCTCTCTCTACCGCTGAGTGTGTCTCTTGGAGTGTCAGCGTGAAGGGCGAAGGCAGCTGCGGTTACCGTCGCTGCTGCATCCACCAAGCACTCAAAACTGGTGACCCATTGCGGCTAGCAAACACGCAAATACAGCATTGCTTCTTGTTGCAACGCGCTAACAATGCTCCGCAACCAGGTAAGCGCTAGGAATAGAAAAGTCAATTCGTCAGTCCTTTTCCAAGTGTTTATCGAATGCGGTAGGAAGTGTGTACGTCTAGTTTCGCCCGCTACACGAAAAACTACTGGGCCACCAGCAGAGCATCCCATGAAGCAGTCAAGCGAGGCGCAGATGCAGTAAAGGAAAAGCGACACCGGGCCGCACTTTGGATATGTCCGTGCAGTGCATTGGATTCTATCAAACGGTCCGTGCAGATCAGTGTCTTTCGATGCCTGTATTGGTTCAAGCTTCAAAGGAAAGCTTGTTAAGGCTCAGCCTCGATGTCATCAGACTTGTGTTCTGCAGAGCTGTAATTATTATGCTTCGATGCCCTAAGTGTGGTGCCTATGGTTTTAGACAATCGCGTTGCCTGGAGAGCATTCACGGGTTCACCAGCATGTGCCGTCCCCCCTTGTGTTTTTTTCGTGAGTTGCAGTGAAACGCTTTCCTCGTTTGACGACCGTAAGGGTGTTTTCAGGTTTGGTGCGCTCCAACGGATGAATATCCCGAGGTGTATCGTGAAAGAATTGTTCGCATGATCCATTATCCGTTGAAAGGCCTCCGTAGTGCAGTGTAGCATAGAATCAGGAGTTAAGAGGAAAGGAAATTCGGGCAAAGCTTTCCAAATTGGGCAAGGGTAGTTTTTGCCGCGACTCCACGCAGGGGGCCCCCTGTCGCTGAGGGGGCCCCCCGGGTATTAGTACCCCCTTCGAGGATCCGCCCACTTCCACAGGGGCCAGCGGCCGCTACGGTGACGGCAGCACCACAACGCCTTTCTGTATTTTTTAAATTGCATGCAACGTCTGCTTCGTGAGCAGAAACAGCGGCGGCAAGCATGCGGGATGGATGGGCTGGCCCCTCGTGCTCTGCTGCTTCCAAGTGCCTCCAATGCGATCTGCAGCGGCTGCTGCCTTAAGACCCCCTCAGGGCCTTTTCGCCTTCCCCCTGGCCGCTTTTACTCCTGTGCATGCATTGGGGCTGCCTGTACCAGCGGCGATTTGCTGGTACAGGCAGCACCGATGCTTCGCTTCTGAGGCAACACCGCAAGCGCCTCCTCGTGTGCTGCACAGTGCAGCCTCCAACAACGCTGACAGCGAGGTTCCCAGTGCAGGCTACGCCGGAGGCAGCAGCGAAGACACGGGGAGCTACAGCAAGAGGCCTCCGCCGAGCCGACGCGTCGCTTTGCTGGCGGAGGAGATCGTTTCTCTTACACAGCAGGAGGCAGACGCTTTCTCTGCAGAGATTTCTGCCCATTTGACTCCTGTGGCTGCGGGGGCAGTTTGCCGTCCCTCAAGACCAGCAGCGTCCAGGAGAGGCCCCCCCACACCGGTGTGCCCCTTCCCACACCCCCTCGCTCTCTTCTTGGGGAGTTCTCCCGTGGGTGTCTTTGGCGTTCGAGAACATACCTCCCTTCCTCTTTGGTGTGCCTTAATCCTCTCGGGTCGAACGCTGGCATCCGAAACTGAGCCCAAGGCTGCAGCAGACCCCAAACCAGCAGCGTCGGGGGAGGCGCTTCGTGAAGCCTCGTAGTTTGCGCCGAATAACCGTGCTTGCTCCCCGATAATAGCGGTTCAGAGTACTTTCAAGAGTGCTGTATTTAAACATCGCTTTTTTTTCATTTGGACTCGGCTGGCTGCTGCTCGAGGGCCGAGTGGCGCTTCTTTCGTAGAAACGCAACACGTCTCTTTGACATACACACATACACACTCACACACACACACACACACACACCTACACACACATACACATACATAAACACATCCATACATACACATCCATACACACACATACAACACCCAAAAACCACAACCACAATATTAGCTCCATCTGCACCAGACCCACAGCATACCATCACACCCCGCTCTCCCCCTCGCAGACCCAGACACTCACACCTCCC